ATAATAAAGGTTTAACTCCTTGAGCAACAGTTCATAATTTACATATTTTTCCAACAACTTTACCTTTATCATTCTCTTAAATATACACACTGATCTGCAGTGGTGGGCAGTGCTAATCCAAAAATCAGCTCCGCGATTTCTAAATGGAAACATTTTGATCTGCAACTTCTAAAACGCTTATTCCATAGAAAAATTAGCAGAAGCTAAATTTAAAGCAAAAGTTCAATTTGACACTTACTAGTTGGCAACAAATGTACAATATATGCACAACACTGCTAACTAGTGGTGTATGAATCCTTGTACAGCTGAATCCTACAACTACCGATTGCTGGGGATGAGTTCCTGAAACAGACCTTTAGCTCCTGGTGTAAAAATTAAAAAGTTGTTGAGGATTGCTAGTTCGGCTGCTTCTTTGTCCTTTTCTTTTGTTTGTTGTAGATTTTTCATTAAAGAAGCATCAATAAAGTAATTTTAAAACTGTTTATTGGAAAACTGAAGTGATGCATTCTGGGTACATTATGGATTTGATTTGTGACGAGAAATGAAAGCACGGAGTACAGGAAACTATTTTTGAACTTCAAAATAAGAGCGTGGATTTTTTGGTTTTCCATGTAGTTGCTCCAGTTGACCACTAGATGTCTTTCTAACCCCGTTGGCCGACTGCTTTGACCAATTACGTCAAGTATTGAGCTCCAGCGTTTAAACTTTATTTTTTTAAAAAAAGGAGCTCTGACTGTAAAGTAAAATAAATCAATACATACAAAATACTAGTATGGATTACAAACGTTTGCTGTTTTTGCTGTTGGCTTCCTGCTACGTAAGCAGACACAAAGCATTGTGGGAAATCAGAACCGTGACCCAAAYCAACAGTCAGCAGGATGTATACCTTCACAGTAAGTGTGTTTATCTGGGAGGGGTGCTGTTGGATAGATCACATGTGTTGTGATTCATTGACAGCCATACCTTCTGCTGTTCAACATAATGATTCTGGTAGATAATTAGTTATTAGCAGAACTGCATTTTAATTTTAGAAAGCGCAAATCTGGTTATGAATTATAAAAATTAGTAAGACCGCTAAAGCACAAACGAAATATTTAGGTCTGCAGTTAGTGGATTTGCTCTTTAGCGGACTGGTGCCCACCACTGCTGATCTGGCATTTTAACGTCGTCCTCCAGATTATTCCATAAACTTATACCCTGCACTGAAGCACACCYTTCCCTCAAAATGATGACTTCATAATGAAGATAACCCACAAACTGAGCTGCATTTAAAGACAACACAACGTGCTTAGTACTGGTGCCGGTCTTACCCAGCTGGTGGATGGTGYGTGTTTCAGAAGAGTCAAAGGTCAGTTTGAAATACGGTTGTGTTCTCTTGGAAAGTCCATCCTTTTCCTGGTTCACACACAGCTCATTGGCTTGAAGGAGCTCCAGCTGAAAGCTGGTCTCCTCCCAAACTGCTCTGAGCTCAGGCAGTGACTCACACAGAACCTCCTCTCCATCCACCTGGATTCTGATCTGAAACACAACAAAACACAACTGTCATCACAATYAAAGACTTTTAGTGCCAGTGCACGCTGAGGAGGACTTCTCACCGTTGCTTCTGGTCCAAATCCACAGGTTCTTCCAATAACATGGCATGGCACGCCTGCACCACTGTAACTCTGACAAACTCTTTCCAGATCAGGCTGAGAAACCTCCAGAATCAAACCCAGCTCCTCGCTGAACAGCACCTCCATGACTACACAAACAACCACCGGGTGGCAGCAGAAACACGGCACAGCTTCATTAACCAACCACTGGTCACGATGGATTCAAAACAAACAGGTGAACTCAACAACCTCCYAATCCTCCGGACGACAACTCAACATCGACGCCACGGTTTCCTGCAAACGCCATTTCCAACAGACAGGAAATGAGGCCTCCATCACTGACGTCATGTCCTGCACTGAGCAGACGATCTGAAAAAAAAAAAACAAAACAAGAGATAAATACATTAAACTCTCTTGTTTTTTGTTTAGACAAGTTTAAAAACAACTTTAATGTTTAGGGCAGCTGTGGCTGAGTGGTTAGGGCTGTGTTCCTTTCAATTCCACCACTATTCAGTCACATGTCAAATCTAAAACTTTAAGACTTTTTACTACTTTTTAATGCCACTTGAAATTCAATTTAAGACCAACTTCCCAATAAACAATAAATAAATAAATATAGTTAGCGACAATTTTCCCCAAATGCTTATTTTAGCACAAAACAACTAGCTACGGTAAATTATTAAAATAGTAATAATAATAATAAATGTTAAAAATATTAATATGAGACAAATACAATGAATGGGCCTCATGCAAGAACATGTTCGTATTTTTATCCTAAATTTCTCTTACTTTTGTTCGTACAAAGGGTTCGTA